TGCATTAAAACACAATCCTTTGCTGTGAACTCTTAGATTATCCCAAAACGCACATCAATTTTCTCTATTGGTGCAACCTGCGATTGAAGGATTACAACATATACCTTGTGTCCGTGGTTTGCTGACCGTTCTAATCCTCACCGGAAATGAACCGCAGAATAATATCGATCGGCTCTTCTTGTCGCGATGAAACAAAATTTAGAGCCATATCCCCGTTACTGGATAATTCGATATACAGGATCTGGAAAGTCCAGTAACTGATAACGAACAGCCAAAAAGGTTTCTGCAAGAGCTAATCTCTAGCACGCCTCTGTGTAACCACTTCACCGCTTCCGCCAGGTCCAGAACAGCGAATAAGCCAAGTATGTTAGATCTGGTGCAAAACCATCAGATCCGAAGCTTCCCGTCGTTCTCTCATACAGAAATCCATTTTGAGAGGCCGAACACAAAAATATATAGCGTTGAGGGATCGTATATAGCGTATTTTCAAAAATAATTCCAGTGCAAATGATTGGACAGAGTAAGTAGTTAAACATAACTATTCTGTGCAGTTGATATCGATGATAAGGCAACACATCAGCACGAGCTGGCGAAACGATTCTATTCGAATCACATGCTTCGTACCAAACATGTGAATATACTACGTAAAGTGCAGCGCATAATTACACTATTTGCCACGCTTGGTGCATACACACACCGCGAGGGAGGAGGCCAACGCCTTACAGGCACAGTACTCACCTACTTTCCAAGGGGTACAAGCTTCGGGCGCTATTTCTGTGTCTCTCACTCCACCAACAGCATCCCATTCACAACAAAACTGAATCCGAAAATGCCACTATCCTTGATTACACACAGCACTCCTGGAGTGGATAACATTCACTCTAAAGCACTGCAGGTAGCAGCCGTACACCTAGCCGAATCACTTGCTGAATTCTTTCAGCGCTGTCTAGACGAAAACATATTTCTGTCAACGTGAAAGCGGGGCATTGTCACACCTATTCACAAAGGAGAAAGTCGATCTGACCCTACTAATTACCGCCCATTAAGGTTTTTCTCTGTGCTCGCTAAAGTCATGGAAGCGATCATCGCAGATACACTGATAGGCTACCCGGAAAACTACGGCATCATCGCGCCGGAGCAGCATTGGTTTCGTCAACATAGACCATGTAACACGAATATGCTGATAGCACGCGACAATTGAACCGAAACACTCAACGATAGGACAGGAATCGATGTTATCTACATGGAGTTTTCAAAAGCCCTCGATCATTTGGATCATCGAATCCTGCTTCATAAACTTCAGCTCTATGGCATCGGAGATCCATCATTAGAATTGATCGGGAACTTTCTCCGCGAACGGCAACTGGAGATTAAAGTCCAAACATCTATGCCTGATCCGGTTTGAGTGGAGTGCGGTGTACCACAGGTTTCGGTACTTAGGCCTCGCCTGTTCTTAATTTTCATAAGCAATCTGGCGAGATTTGCCATCGCAAATTCTTTACTTTCCGCGGACGAGGTTAAGGTTTGGCGGGATCAAAGGATTGGACGACGACTAAGTCCTCCAGCGCGACCTCGAGGCTTGGAATTGGTCTCTGAGGAACGCACTACATGCAATATGGACAAGTGCCGCTTTGTCTACATCTGCTATCGACACGCCTACATCTACAAGCTTGGTGCGCACGATCTGCAGACAAGCTCTCAGGAACGTGAGCTGGATATGCTGGGGATGAATGACCTCAGTTGTTCCCGACAGTCGGATCCCATTTCATAATTAGCAAGCATCTTGGTGTCTTGCGTAGGGTACTCAGGAGTTTGAATTCATTCATCTCTTCTGATGCTCAATGCCAACCTGCGTCCCCACGTCGAATACACTATCTAGACTTGGCTAAGGCGTGACTTCTCAGCACTCGAGACCTGCCCAACGCTGTGGGAGGAAAAATGTCGGGTTTACGTCATCTTCCTTTTCAGCAACTGTTAAAGTTACTCGATGTTTAGTGGTTGTTACCGACGGCTACGTGGAAATCTCATATTAGTTTACCAAATACGGAGCGATATCAGTCACATATGCCACTAGCTTTTGAAACTCAACCCGAACACCAACCTCAGTAGTAATAGCTTGAAACTGAGCCAAAAGTACAAGTGTCTAGATTGTCGACGAATTTGTTTACCCTTCCAGGTCTGCGACTCTGGAATGCCCTACCAAACTCCGTTGTCTGTGCCCCTAAGTTAGCCAATTTCAGAAAGACATTGGGTTTCTCATTGATCTTTCATTTTGTTTCGTGAACGGGTATTCTGGAATATATTCAGGCTAACTAGCTTCTTTGGAGTTATAACCCTCAATGACGTAGCTGAATCTATGCAAACGAGTGAGCGAGCCGATTATTTTTTTTCTGTTAGCATTAAGCACAAACTGTATTTTTCTTTTTGCCATCTCACTCCCAAATCGCGATTGATTCTATGCATCTACTCTATCTAATCATTGATGCGTTTTTTATTCGGTCTACTTATGCAGTAATCGATTTTATAATTCCTCCCATTACTAACCTGCCGGTTGTGTTAAACTTATCTTTTTTTACCCGTTATAGACCATTGTACCATTGACTATGCCAACACAATTTGTGGACGCGCATGTTTCCAAGTGCATGACAATAAAATATGATTCTTTGGACTACATGTTGTGTGATTGGATTGCGACGCGCAATCTCAATGTAATGGACCGTGATTCACATTGAGTTGAACCTTAGTCACTGTGATCACTGGGACCGTACGCAAAGCGGATGGAAATTGGGTGTTGCCCGCCCGAAAACATTGCACAACCGTGACCCGGTAGCCAAAGGGGTAGAGGTTTCGGCTACTATTCCATTGGTCGCGGGATCGAGGCCTGCTGTCCACCTGATGAGATGAAATTACATCGAAACGCGTCGTGGTTGTGCAGTGCTTTCGGGCGAGCAACACCCATTTTCTATCTGCAAAATATGATTCTCTTTGATACCTCCTAAAGACTGTCACTTCTGCTGTCCACTATTCGTCTAACCGCATTTACTATCGACCATCATTCTCGCCATACTTTTATTACCTCATTTCCAAGGCCGTTCGCCCTCTGTCAGCCTCCGGTCACTGTCGCGAAGCCATCCGAAAAAAAACTGCCTTGTGCACTTGCTTCCACACGCCCCAGGGTGACGGGACGGTGTTGTGATTGGTTGTCACGATCCACGGTCACGTGCTGCGCGTGACTGGTTGCGATGCTTCGTTCGATAGGAAATAAAACGGCGTGGGAGTGGGCTGACTTTGACCCTGGGTACAGACTACAGCTTTGAGATACAGCGAGCGGTTCATGCGAATGAAAGTTGTGCTTATTTTGAAAGAGCCTCCTTATCTCGTCGGGGGAGGTCGGCTTCGTAAAATTGGCCACTTATTACAGCAGTCATCAATGAAATCTCACCGGATCGCCCCACTAGCGATTCTTTAGGTCACCCCTATGGGTAACAGCAAAGGACGAACAACGTGTACAAGGAAATTGATTGACCACAACTTGACATTTTCTTTGCAACGAAGACGACGGACTTCACAACTATCAGCCTCCTGACATCATTTTCTCTTGAGTATATCGCATAATCACCTGCCTTTTATCAGTCGTTCCAAACGTCACTCATGACTTAAAACACATATGATAGTTGCCCTATAACCCACTTACACAGATACGGTACGAGTTGTGCCTTGTCGAGTGACGCGTTGCGACCAGTGTTGCATGGTGCGCAACACATTTGGATTTGTCACTCAACATGAGCAAGTTACATGGGTACATCGTAAGATTGACTGGATTATCTGGCTCAAGTGATACAGAAAGTTTTCTTTCGTCTTTCTATTCCGATCACACTAGACTTCTGTAAGTGGGGTATTAGTCTCCAACTGGGTTGTTCGCTGCCTGCAAATCGTGTGGTTACTTTTTTGGCAACTTCAGTCTACCAGCCTGGCCATCTGGTTACTTCTCCTTAACCATGTATCACAAACGGCTCCATGGGAAGAGCAAAGGCTACCATAACGCTTCGATATGCTGCTATTGTACAACGTCTATAACCGACAAGGTCGTTGTCAATACTCAGGGAACTTTTGGCAGCGTAATCAAATTTGTCAACCAATCTGCTGAGCCGCGTAATGTGTCCGATGGCCGAGACCTTCCATCATAATTGCATCTATCTCATCATCATTCCTCTTGCAGCAGTCAGCATGCGTCTAGAAGCTGTTCTTACACTTTTTACCTCATGTGAATCATGATTTGTCCTCGATCTCTATCACGAGTTACTCGCGGATTCGAATGACCTGGGTTTCAAGCGACTAAGGCGCTAGCTACTATACCCGGGATTCGTTTTCCGCTGTTTACATTTTACCTGAACCACCGGTAGTTTCTTAAATCACTAACGAGTAGGAGGACCTTCTCGAAAAAATTTTACTGATTCATCCCTGCAACTCACAAGCCAGATAGTCTAACCCCCAATCAGGTATGGCACCACACAACCGTTTCGTCCTATTGTGGCTCGTCGGTAGTACACGTTCCATTAGCGGCATAAGCTGCTGGCTAGTTAGTACAAGCTGCTCCTGGGCTAAGTTCCGTGAAGGGGGCCGGGTGAATCGCACCACTGACAGGCCCCAACATCGCAAAACTGCTGTTTGGTGCTTTTCTTGAATGGTGATTAGACTCTTTGACTTGTGAATTGTTGGGAGGAATCAGTGCATTTTTCCGAACTTCTCACTCTACTCCAATCTCGCCTTTGGACTGATGACAAATTTCGATTATGGTTCAAACAACGGTCATTATGTCGCTGTCCTAAGCAGCTGTGTAGCATCGAGTCGCTGGCGTTTCGACACCATCTGAGATAGACAGCTTTAAAACTCTGGTGTTGCTGTCGTATCTAATGTACACAACTTTTGTTGTCACGTTTGTTATCTTACATCCGCATTCCAACTTCTGCTCATTTTCCTGTCATCCATTGTTTCTTCAGACCTTCAGCATCAACGGAACAGTTTGATGAAATCCATTCTGATAACCAACCTGTTTTCGGCAATCATTCAGATCCTTCCCCCACTTCCTTCGTCTTCTCTTCTGAGTTGCCGGATGGCGTTCACTCATGTTCTCTCCGAGCGCAGCATTTTTCTGAGGATGTTTCCGTTCAAACCGGCGTTTCTCCCAGCCCCACTCCCCTCAATCGCCGGCCAGACTCAAACCGGTGCTCGAGATGTCGAAGACGAACAGGCCCGGTTGGTGGTTTCAGTTGCCGGTAAGTGCACCGTCTCACTACTGCTATTACTGCATATTCAAATGCGTTTACCCTGTGGTTTCAGCTCCCGAGTAGCCGACCAACGTCTATGTGATATTATTTATCGCAACCATCCTCTAAAAGTATATTTCCTGCTTATCCGCACCTCAGTTTATTAAACCTTCTAAGGCTGATAGTTATCATCGAAATAGTTCTTTCTTCGTGACGGATACACATGTGCATTTTCACGTTATAAATAAACAATCGGAAGCGTTGTTCTCTGACCGGTAGAAACGCGCGTCTGACTATTGCACCCCTTCCCTCCCACTCCTCTTGGTTCCTTATACAAATGATCATTTGGTTGTTTGCTTTGCATTTGAACTTAAGGCGCTCTCACTTCCGAAAGACTGTAGGACTAGTAAATACTAGTCCGAGACGGTGCGCGAAATTAAGCGCGGATATCAGAAGGCAATTGGAGTCGGACACAGCGGACTGTATTCGATGGGCTGCAAGAAGACGCGGACGGATGAAGCGAGACAAGAGCAGCACGTTAGCGCGGGAACTTACAAGACGGTCAAATGTCGAGCCGGATGTAGGTCAACATAGACATAATGTGAGGGAGATTAAAACAAGAAAGTATAGCGTACAATTGGTCATCAGCGAAATTGTGCACAAAAGATAATAGCTATCTTTTAGGGCGCTACAAGTCTTAGTCAACCCATGTCGACAGTAATGCTGGCATTCATCGTCTTCTGGAAAAGTGGCAGATGAAGGCAATGCCAAACTATGGTAAATTTTATAGTAATGGTTGTGTATAAGGATGTGCCAACTTTCACCGCTATTCAAAATCCGGTCACAATGCCAAACAATTGATAAGGAACCTGTGGTTTTGTCATAGTACTCCCTATTCTTTCTCATCGCTATTGATTGGTCGTGAATCATATGCCCACTTAACGGTCATTGGACGAATGCGTGCTTGCTTCTGATTGGCTTGTGTGAATGGTTTAAGTCAACCGTTGTTACGTGTGCATAGTGTCCATACATCCGTTTACTTGACGGAGTTCCTGTTCTGCTTTCACGAACACAATAGGACCTGTGACATGCAGCAATGAAGTAGTGAAGCACTATAGCATGGAAACTGATTTGCCAAAAATGATAACTGTATTAAACATACATCATCATCATCATACACGTTAGCTAAAGGTGGGGAACACCTCAGCTACTGTGCCGCAATACACACAAAAAAGGAGAAAAAAAGGCAACTGGTGCAAGCCAGCTGAGCTACCGGTAACGGATGGGCAACGCTCCGGTATGCTACCAGCCGGCTACTGGGCATCAAAAAAATTACTATGCAAAATTATATAAGGCTAAAGAATGAGATCGTGGTTGGAGGGGGAGGCTAAGAGGGATGGGGTGGGACAAAGAAACTCACAACACGAACGCCACTGAGGTCGGCTCTTAGCCATGTCAGCAAGTGTGTCCAACCAAACGTGTTCATCGTCTTTCGGACTCCAACCAGGGAGCTGAGACGCTCCAACCGAGGCCAGCTCAGAAGTGAGGGCCTTCATTCCTCTCGACCGAGTCATCGCTTGGCCACCCCTCCTCTTCTTCCATCCACACCCCGGCGCGCAAACAACGCACGTCGCGGAATCGGTGGGCTGGCATGCGTGACATGTGGCCCAGCCATCGGAGCCTGGTGCATGAAATGACGGTGCTGAGCTGTTCATTTCCTTTTCCTGTGCCGTAAACAAAGCGTCGAACACGCTCGTTACTCACGCGGTGTTCCCACCAGATGTGAGCTAAATTACGAAGGCACCGGTGGTCGAACGTAACTAGCCTCTTCAGGTCCGCTGCTTTAAGCGGCCAGGTTTCACAACCGTACAGTAAGGTCGAACGTACTGCTGCATTGTACACTCTACCCTTCAGGGCAAGAATGATGTCGCGCCGGCGCCATAAGTGGCGAAGGTTAGCAAAAGCGCCCCGAGCTTTTGCTATACGGTTCGTGATCTCATTTTCAATCCCACGGGCTCTGATACAACTTCCCAGGTAGTTGAATTTTTGAACGACTTCTAGCTGATCCCCATTAACGGTCAGCGTCGGAGGCGGTCCAGACCAATCTTGGAGGAACGCTTTGCACTTCGAGGGTGCGAAGCAAAGCCCGAAGTGACGGACAGCTAGTGCTAATCTGTCCAGTGCCGCTTGACACGTTTCTGAGCTGTCACAGATGAGGGAAATATCATCAGCATACACTAAGTCAAAAACTTGTTCTTCGGGGAGCAGATCCACACCTTTTAAGTCGTGTGCTGTGAACGCGATTTCCATGACTTCGTCAACAGAAAAGTCGAAGAGGAAAGGTGACAGCGGGCATCCTTGTCTTACGCCGCTGGAGATATTAAAGGGCGACGACAACTTGCCGTAAGCCCTCACTCTGCCCGAGGTACGCGCATATAATGCTCGGATAATATTCACATGTTTCTCAGGTACGCCTTTCCTGAGTAGACAGTCCCAAAGTGCATGTCTATCCACCGAATCGAATGAACCTTTGATATCGAGGAACACGACAACAGTGGGCCGCCAATATATGTGACGGTGCTCCAACAACTGACGCAAGGTGAAGATGTGGTCAATGCAGCCACGACCTCGACGAAATCCAACTTGCTCTTCACGAATCTGGCTTTCACGAGTGCCAGTCAGTCTGTGAAGGATGACAGAGGCAAGCAATTTGGAGCCGATGGTGATCAGACTGATTCCTCTATGGTTGCCGCATTCCGATCGTGATTCTCCCTTGAAAATTGGGAATCTGACGGAGCGGCTCCAATCGGTCGGGACAGTTTCCTGCTCCCACAGTTTCATTAGTAACTCATGTAAATCATCCACAAGAGCAGGTCCCCCGAATTTGAAGAGGGCTGGAGGAAGATCATCTGGTCCCGCGGCTTTACTTAACTTCAACAGTTCGATCTCACGTTTGACTTCTGAGCGAGAGGGTGGATCCAAAGGGACAACCCACGGAGCAGGGCGATCAGTAGCCGGTGAGAAATCTAACCATTCCGACCGATTAAATTGCCTTTTAAAGTGCTCAGCCCAACGCTCCAAGCGTTTTGATAAGTTGCGGATAGGCTGTCCACTCTCGTCACGTATAGTTTCACTAACACCAGGTCTCCTGCTGCCAGTTTCCCGTATCAGACGGAATAACTTACGATGGTTACCAAGGGCAGCGGCCATTTCCATCTCTGATGCACGACGAGACCACCAAGATTCGCGGTCTCTCTTCAGGCTAGCACGGAGTTTTGCCCGGAGCTCTTTGCGAGTTTTATTGTGTTCGCTTCCAGCCGGAATATGCCGGCGAGCATTTATAAGTTCCAGAGACTGTGAAAAGAGACCCAATGTCCATGTTGGTGATTAGACATACCACATGAGGATTTTCCTGCTGCTAGTAAGGTCTGGTGAATATGAGACCATTGAGCTTCAATTGCATCCAGTGAGCGTTTATCCAACTCGTATGACAGCGTACTTTGATAGGTATTCAGAAAGGCTGGCTTCGCCAGTTGGCTGATGTCAATGCGCTCACAACGTCGTCGTGTGCGACCGCCAAAGCGCATCCGCAGGTCAGCACATACAAGTGCATGGTCGGTGTCCACACATGTACTCCAAATCGAGTGACGGTTCTGGACGCAACTTCCCCATCGGTAACTTGTCGTAATGTAATCGATTTGCGTCCAAGGCTGGTTCGAGGCTGGTGGGCGCCAAGTCACCCTCCGGCGATGGATGTGTCTGAAATTAGTCCTCACAAGAAATAAGCGAGCATCTTCACACAAATGAAGTAACCGCTCACCGTTATCATTACGGGAGCCTATACCATGTTGGCCGCCCAGATGCAGCTCATCTGTGGATAATTTTCCAACTTGAGCGTTCAGATCCTCAGCCAGCACTACAGTGTCCCACCTTCTTCTGTGGCTATGGAGCTCGTTCAGTTGATGATAGAAGTCGTCTTTTACCGAGTCATCGCTACAGTTTGTCGGTGCATAGGCAGCGATAACGAATAGACACCTGTTAGTCCCGCGCGATTTCGAAGCTTTGAACGAGCCAGCCAATCGGACCGCACACATCCGGCTACTGATTGGAATCCAATCAACCAGAGTAACTTCAGCCCGGGGAATCAGGGCAATACCAGTACTGGCTTGGCCGGTGCTCGAAACTGCATCGTGACCGGATAGGCGCAATGAGAAAGTGCTGCTGGTGTCTCTTGAAAGGGATCGCAGCGTGAGTACAGAGCTGGAGTCTTGCAGGCGGGTCTCCGATAAGCAGCAGATATCGATCGAGAGGGTCTCTAATGTTCGGGCAAGTGCTGTCTGTTGACCGATCTGTAGTAATGTGCGAACATTGAAGCATACCAATCTGAAGGAGGATCGAGGGCTTCAAATGGAAGTCGATGAACTGGAATGGGCCGCTTGCTTGGACATGGGCCTGTTGACAGGACAGGAATGACGCTCCGCGTTCACATGTGAGTTGAAACTAAAAGGCAAGCGACTATTGAAGCAAGGTGGGGAAGGGCCGAGAATTGGGGGTTGAAAACAGGGGGGATAAAAGTGAAGCTGGAACGGGACGATAAGGGTGAAAAAGCGCAAGAGGGGGAATGAGAAGACGGGAAGGCTTGAGCAGTAGCATCCAAACCCCTATCCACCCTGCCCGATGCAGCAGATAGGGCACCGTTGATTAGCCTCTGCGGTGGCCAGAGCATCAGAAATTTGTTTGAAGTGAGATTCATTGTATTGCGTGGGCAGAATACTGTCAGGTTGCCCAAGCCTATACAGAATGATTAGGGTTCTCAACCAAAGCCTTTGGTTCAAAAACCTGTTCGCAAGTCAGCGGGTTTGGCACTGGGCTACAAGGAGTCCGTTTTATGGAATAAGGAGCCCCCCTCATTCCAACCCCCAACCTGGAGGACCAGGAGGCTGAATTTGTCTGGCCTCTGACCATTGACCAATCTGATATGAGTGACTCTGAAGGTGCAAAAATGCACC